CTTTCTTTACCCTGTCAATTAAATTTAAAAATGGAATGGTGTTAAGACTTGGCCCTTAGGAGGGAGGAGAGTCAATACCTACCTTACAGTACTGTTTATTATCACTTCTTAGATGAATGAACGACATTAGTCAATTCAGGAATTTGAGTTTCAATTTATATCCTTATTAAATAGAAAGTAGGCATTGGGAATTTCTGTGTTTTAAATCTACTCCCATGCAGACATAAATGTATAGATGCATAATACAATAGTAATTTTCAATTACATCCTCATTGTAATTTTAGCTCTGTTCTAAAATTAATGATCAGATTTGCAAACGATGTAAAATGTCTTTTGACCATAGGTCACATATTTGAAATTTATATAGATGTTTATAACAAAGATTGTTAAAGTTCTGTTAAAGTTCTCAAGTTGAAGAAAATCTCCAAAATTAGCATTTCATTTGCAACTATATGTACATATGGTTTGAAATATGTGTGCATGGTTTGAAAACTTTCCTTGTAAAATGAAAATGTGAATTCTATTTTGAAGATTAGGTTCTGTCACCAATATTTAAATATCACAGATGTTTTAAAAACGCAGTGTATGCTAATATGTAAAATTCTGTTCAGCTTAGGACTTGGAAAATTTGCTATTTATTGTTACTCAAATTTCCAAATTGGAAAAATGAGTTATTTTGTAAAAAAAAAAACTCCGGTAAGGCTAATATGTGATTAACTTTTAAACAGACACTTGTAATGAACAAATAACAATTACACACTCGAAGGATGCATGATCTTAAAAAAAGTATCATAATGTCAAATCCTACGGTAGCGTTAGAATTGTTTTGATCTGTTCTTTGTTTGTAAACATATTTTTTTTTTTTTTTTTTTTTTTTTTTGGAATGACCTTACCTTACCAAAATGTTTTCATTGCACTTTTGTCAATTGGGTCATACCAAAAGTAATCTCCAAATTCCTAAATAATTTATACCAACAAACAACCTGTACAGATTCAGGGTAATCACATGTTAACATTGTGAGCTTAGTTAAAGTAAATGTTTTCCTTTTTCATACTAATTAAATCCTGTTTAATGTACTTTGCACATGATGCATGTTTTTTTTTTCCTCACGTGTAATAAATTGAGTGTTTAATAACGTTTTTTCTTGAATTTTCTTGAAGTGTCAATGTTCTTAATGAGAACAGAAGTATTTTGCAACGTTTTCTTTTTTTAGCTATGTGTAATTGAAAAATAATTGTTTCACACAAACATAATGTTTAGTCCCAAAGACTAAATTATGTTACCATCATTGACTTTTTCTCATCTACATGTACTGCTCAAGTGAAGTCCAATCTTATGGAAATTAGCACCTTATTCCATGTCTCTCTGTATCCAAAAGAATGTTTAGTTTTTTTTTTTTTGTTTTTTTTTTAAAAGGAGGGAATCTATTTCTTGCAATATTCGTTCAATGTATATCAAGAATGGTCATTATATTTTTGGCTTTATTTTAAGTGAGTCTTTAATTGTTTTTTTTTTAAGACTTCTAAATATAATTTCTTTTTTCAACAGAAAAGAAAATTCTCAAGCACCGCAATCATGATATGAATTTAACATCCTTACAAGGTGTTTCGTAATTGTAAATTATATAATTTACTATATGATTAACATTTTGAGAAGTACTTTTGTATGACTTTAATTTAAGAAGATCCACAATTCAGTTTTTCAAATACACTCTTGTGTAACTTACAAAGTATATGAAAGAGGGGTATACTTAATGCGGTTCATTGATCGACACATTAAATCACTTAACTAACTCTACAAATCAAAAATATATGTCTCCTAACGAAAGAAGAATATTTTTACGTCTCCCTCTCTAGATTTGGTCGAAACATATGATGTACTGAGTGACATACCATTCAGTCTTATATTAATCAGACTTATTGGCACAACAAATAGACAGAAAAATCAGAAGTCAGTCACTGATATTCAAACTTTGGTTGCTTTTCAATGAAATATTTGACAAAGTCAAGGAACACAACAACTCTAGCTTTCCGGAAATCTTTCAATGTCATCTCTTTTGTTTCATTATTGAAAAGAATATTCAATGGAAAATATTTTTTCAGCATATTTTACTTTTTGCTTTTCAATAAGGGTTTGGGGGTCTTTTGAGTGCATGTAATTAGTTAGTACTTACATGTAGTTGTCATGCCTGATAGTGGCTACATGTATATAAATCTTTAAATGTCATCTCTTTGGTTTCAATATTGAACAGAATATTGAATAGAATTTTTTTCAGCTTATTTTACTTTTTGCATTTCAGTAAGTTTTTTTTTTTTTTTTTTTTTTTTTTTTTTTATAGATTTTTTGTTTTAGATTTTTTGAGTGCATGTAACCAGCCAGTACCTGGTTGTTCTGCCAGATGGTGGCTACATATATATAAACCCATGAGTTCCTTTTGTTATTTTAAGAGCTGCATACTCTGACAGTCGCCGAGATCTTATAAAACACAAACATGTCTCTCAGTGGTCGTACAAAACCTTTTTGTTAAATTTAATCTTTAAAACGTACTTGGCTATTGAGCCTTTTCCACTTCAAGCCTTTTAACAATACACTTTTTTGCATCAAACAATTCATGTACACACTACTAGAAAAAAAAGTCGCCCGCTTGATGCAATGGATAGAGCGTTTGCTCTATAGTCGCGGAGTAAGTAGTAGATCGTTAGGTCGGGTTCGAATCCCACTGCGAGACTAGAAGAAGGAAAAAAGATCCGTCACCGCTTAATGGCTCTTAGTGCCGAGTATACATCTTATATTTGCAGTCAACCATCGGCAAGAGGTGTCGTCTCAATATGAGTGAAAATTTCTAGAAAGGAACGTAACTAAAACAAACAAATTACCACCTCATCCTCCCCCCCCCCCCCCCAAAAAAAAAAAAAAACTAAATAAGATATGCATATTCAAAGTCAAACAATGAATTTCCAAAATTAATAATAAAATTTAAAAATACTCTAAAATGAAATCAGGTGTTTAAAATTACCTGTTTAAGAAGTTCAAGTCTACCAAAATAGAATTTCTTAATGAGTCATATCCCGAGATATGAGTTAGATCGCCTTTTCTTTGCTTAAGATAAAATCAAAATGATATCTTGAATTTTAAGCCTTTCTTGCCAAATTGGTAACTAAGGTTTAAATATGCAATTACAGAAACAACAAAAAAAGAAAACAATAAATATCTCAGATAATATTTTATTTTATTTGTTGTTTTTGCTTTGATTGACATATACATAATTGATTTCTTTTACTGCAACATTTTCAATTTTCATTCCTTTACTGGAGGACAGAAACGATGTAACTTTTTTTCCTTATGAAAGCATGCATAAACAAAATATTACTCTAAATATATTCCTTTGCAATGTAAGGAAGGTTTTTTCAGTAGTTGGAAAGTTGCTGGAATGCCATTTAATAAATGCAAAAATGCATTTTTGATGGTGAATTTTCTTTCTCCTGTGCTAGACAACTTTCTTATGTGTGGAAATGCCCCTCAATTTTTCGCATCGCAGATGGTCAGTCTGAAACTTTCCCTCGATGTTGAGAGACCATCGCTTTATTTTATTAATTGCTATCGGGATCCGTCATGTTTCAAAGATGTGGCGAATCATCAGGCCTATAGTGAGCGACAGTAATATTATTTCTTTAATGTTAGACCTCAATCCAGTTGCTGAGGAGGAGCACCTGCATTAGAGACAACAAAGTTGTTATTTTAAAGAGGATAATGAAATATTACGCATAGAAATAACATGTTTATAAAATGAAATTGTCTTTGCCTGGCCTTTTAAACATATGTTTAGTTTTATGTCATTGATCTTAATGTAGAAAAGCTCACTTTATCCCACAACCGTGTGTTGTTTCCCTTTCATTTGGTGGTACCTGGGTTGTGCGACTGTTACTCTCTAGTTTGTAACACGATTGATCTGCAGAGAATAGTTTTTCCTTAAAAATTTTTCTTCTAGATTTCATATATTTTAAATTTCGATGCAACAAAGTATGCTTAAAGTTTAGAAATGTATCAATCCAAAGGACATGATAAATTGAGAAGTTTTAAATTTAGATTCATTAAAACCTTCATATAACCGTACATTTGTAAGATTCGTCTGAAGAATAATGAACTGGACAAGAGATATCACCATCTAAACACGAGTGCTCGAAGTTGGTTTGAATTCTGGTGCCCTCTTCATTATATTCTGCACATTTATCTGCATGAAAAAAAAAACACATTTACGACTCTTTTAGAATCAATATGGTAAAGCAAAAAAGTGTCAGGATGCAGGAAGCATCAATTGGTATATGTTGAAGCAATGATTTTTTTATCATTAACCAAAAGAAAAGCAAAAGTAGAAAAGCAATTCAAAAGATGAAACAGGTTTAACGGTGAATCTGAGGAACGATAAATAATCTGTCAAAAGATTCTTAATATATTTAAAATTAAAAATCATTTCAAAGATGAAGATTGCTTTCATAAGGTTTGAGTTCTTACGCAGAAGAATCTGTTTTTTAGGTGCACAGACTTCTATGGTCTTGTTCCAAAATGAATTTGGTAGGCAATGATAAGCGAAACGTTCCGGTCTGGTACAAGATTGAACAACAGAGCCACAACGCATGAGTTTTGCTCTCTTTTTCCATTCATCGGGTGTTGTTGGACAGTGTGAGACTTCACGAGCAGTCTCTCGAGATTTTAAGCAGATTCCATAAATATTCTTCATCTGAAAAAAATATACCAAAAAATAAAAAAAATATTCGAGTTAATAAAGGAATGAGCTTAAGATGAAATCAATTAAATGTCTATATGATATGTGACATTGTGCATCCAGTATCAGAGGGGAAACTCAAGATATTTGTATTTTTTCTCTTACTATCCTTTGTTTGTTTGTTTGTTTGTTTTTTGGGGTTTTTTTTATTTGTTTGTTTGTTTGTTTTTTGAAAATCCTGTTTTTCACATAAAGGTCTGTAATATTAATGATTTATTAATGGCCTACATTTCCCTGCCTCCTGCCTGAAGCATCTTCAACAACAATTATGTTTATAATAGCAGCAACAACAAAGACTCCCTCTGAGTTTATAAACATATCCTTTTCTTTCTTTCTTTCTTTTCCTTTAGGAAACCTGTAAAAAATATATAAACTGATTTTAAAATTCACTATTTGAATATTTAAATACTTTGTTAAGCATTTTGATTGATAATGAGTGCAGAAACATATTTAAAACAGCAAAGAGCAATAATTCTTAATAGAACTGTTAGCTTTAAAATCTCATTTCAAAAATCTACGTTTGTTGAAATAGATTTCTTACTACCTCACAGTAAAGTAGAAGTGTCAAGATGCAAATGAAGGTACTGAAGAAAATAATAGTTTTGAAGCAATATTTATGAAAAATTTTCTCGGAAAATTAAATTTTCAGTCAAAAAAAAGAGTCCTAGGGACTTTTTCTTGCATGATTAGATACGCCCTTTAAATTGCTTTAATACATATTGATATCCTTATACACATGTAGTGTATCTATAAATACACAATGGGATTTTCATTCATTCCTTACTTATATAGCAATGTCCGTAAAGTTTATTTAATTTTGATATACACATGTATAAAATTTAAACTTATCAGCACCATAAACAACAGTTGAAGTTTTCTTTCTTTTCAAATTTCTCTAGTGATACATACTTTATAAAGTGCTTGTGCAATTTCAAATTCAAACTGAAAGTAGCCTTGAATAAACGGAATTTTTTGTCAATGTGCATTTTTTTCCCTTGAATGTCATTTTTACACAAGTTTTATAAACATTATAGTAAACATGCAGGTATACATGTATGCATAAATGCTTCTCTGAAAGTAAGATTTGGTTCAACCTATACCGATTTTGAAAACGTGTATATATATTCTCTAATCCGCTCAAGTATTCTATATATAGAATACGTTTTAGGTATAAACAGCTGCATGATTTCCGTTTCTTTGTTTTCCACAATCTACATCACTATTTCGTTGCCAATGTTAATTTTCCCAACTCAATTATTTCCTGGCAGTTCTTACTAAATGCACAAAAAATCGCGTTTAAAATATGAAGCTAAAATTTTGTCTATGTTCTTACTAAGGTGGTGTCAAAACTGGAACAACCGTAATGTATTTTAGATAATGATCAATCAGACCCTTTTTTATTATAATGCATTACCTATAGATATAAATAGTTTTATTTTAATTCGAAATACTTATTCAAGCAATATACCTGACTTTGTGTATCAAATACTGATTTATCGTAATGAAAGTCATCAAAGAGGTAAAAAGATTTTAATATCCCACGAATATAAAAAGGCATTTAATTTGAAGCATTCTTTAAATTCATTTTAAAGGTCGCTGTATAAGTAAGGCACAAAGACCCTGCTAATTTGGTTTCCAAATTACTTTTTTGAATAAAAGTAATAGCGACTTCGGTTAAGGTACTATGGAAACACTAACTATCTTAACGTATATATCCATATATTTACATTTCCAATAAATTTCCCCTATAATTCTTTACAAATAAGAATGCAGTTCATTTTCTCATGAACTACCATGCATGGGCATGGATATCTCCATTGTTACGTCATAATACCTTACTTGACGTCAAAACTATAGTGCAAACTGTTTTGCTTTAAAAATGACAGTTGAGTGGCGTTATTTGTGGCAAATCATCAGAAAAATAATGTAAATATAAGAAATGAATTTAATTTTTGAAGATTCATGAGGTACATGAACTACAACGTTTCACGCCGGCATATTTCATGAAGCAGTAACGCGTTTCATGAAATATGCCGGCGGGAAGCGTTGTAGTTCATGTCCTCATGAATCTTCAAAAATTAAATTCATTTCTAAATCATTTGTTTTCACATTAATATAACGGATTATTATTCTTTATTCTGATGACGTTATTGATTCAGAATTCTTACTGTTTCAAATGGTGCATTTAATTGCAAGTAATTTCAAATTCAACTCTCTTTAACCGATTCTTAAGCCTTTTTCTGGTTGATTTTATTTCAGGCATATGAAATCAAAGATTTTTGTGTTTTAGATTTTGACTTCTTATCCTTATTAAAACATTTGACACTCCCCATGTCAAGTCAAAGACAAAATATTAAATCAATTTTCTTTCAGGAATATTTCCCTTGGTATCAATGTATTTGGATACAGAATTAACTTTTAATCATATTTATTGTATTAAGCTTAAAGCATGGGTACTATACAAAGATATGTTCTCTGATGTAAAAACGTATAACATAATAATAACATGATAATAAAAATTAATTTTGGTTTTCAAAATATCTCAAAATATATTGTTCCATGTCACTTGTGTAAATCCTTTATTAACGTCAATATTCCCCATATTTTTTCCTTGTTCAGATTTTTATTTTTATATCCATAAATCAAAAAAAAAGTACCTTAATATATCGTATTCAACTCATGTAAAAATGAGTAGGAAGGACACAAAGTCACAATAATTATTTTTGTTAAGATTATGCACGAAAATGAATGTTTATATCTGTATTTTAAATATAAAAATAAACTTGTCTTTATCTTTCACATGGGACAGTGAAATTCAGAAAGAAAATCAGAAAAAAAGTTCATTTCTAGCATACTGTTGGATGTTCCATGCTTTTCTTTATTTTTATTCTTTTTTGTTCAGATCAAACTTTTGTCCGACAAGATATGTATTCTTAAAATATTTTAGGTTGTCTTATCAGCAGAAAAGAAAGCAAAATAAAACAATAAATATATAAGTAATCATCTTTTTCATATTTATATTTTTAAGCGATTGTATGTATGTAATTTTAGATTTATAATTTTAATGTTATGATTTCTAGCATATATATGTCAAATTAATTTACTAATAGTTCTTAAATTGTGTTTATTAGCATTTTATTGTTCAGCGCTTAAGAATATTTTTTTTAAATTATATTTAGCGCTTTATAAATTTATGCATTATAATTATTATTATTATTATAATTATGTGTCTATGATAAGCGATTAAGATATACAATTTTATTCCAAAAGAAATTAGTTTACCTACACTAAAGCTGATTTCTGCAACTTTTTATACCTTTCTAAAATTTGGTAATTTTCAGCAACAATAACAAAATCAACTAAAAGAAATTTTAGAGTTTAAAATTTAGCATTAAGGTAGTCATAGTCTGTTCCAGGCTATCAACGTCATTTTATATATATTTTGAAATATCAAAAGGTTGTCCTGCAAAAAAAAGGTTTGATCATCGAGATCATTTACATGTAGATCATTCTTTCTCAAAACTGACTGCTTTGTAGTAACCATCAAGTTCAAACTGTGTATTCAATCATTTGCAAAGTCTTCAGAGATTTAACAAAGCAAAAACGGCCGCCACATCGGAAAGGAATGTAAAATTATTTGTGATTTGCAGTTGCTGGCCACCAGTATCATAATGATGTACATTTTCTAAATCATATGAATTTTTTGGTCAATGAAAACGCGGATAATAACCAACTCCCTCATGTACTTTAGAGCGTGACCGAAATTTTTATATCAAATTTCTTCAGACTTTAGAATATCATGCCATACTGGTTTTTGATACAGACTAGACTAGTTGTATTTTATGTATAAACAGTAATATTAGGTGTATTTTCAAAACAACTCTCATGATTCCTTTGACAGTTTATAAATTCATTCACTCATGAACCACCAGTGATGAATGATATTGTAACGTTCCCCTTGCATCACTAAGATGATGTCACATTCACCCAAAGAATCCTTCCTCTATGCAGGCTTACATTATGGATGCTCCATGTACAGTATGGAGTGGCTACTTTGAAAACCCATATCCTTACAGGCTAATTTTACAGAAAAAAATAATTCTTTTCAATTGATATGTTTTCTAAATATGAGGTAATTTACATATAAAAATAAAAGAAATGTGGATATAAGTAATATCATTTTTTTTCCTTGAAAAATCATGAAGGATATGAATCAAGATCTAACGCAGGCACTTTTAAGCAGAGCTAATTTTTGTTAAAAGACATACATTCAAAACATAAAAGACATTTCTTCAGTATCCATTATGTAGTAGTCTTATTTTTTTTTCTTTCTTTTTGAAGTTCTACTTCCCAAAGAAGAGCTCAAAGTTCTTGAATAAATAATTTCTGTGATTTTTATGTGTTGACAATTCCTGACGTCAGAGGGTCAATTTACAAAATCAGCTCGAGTTCTATACTTTGCGGTATCTTAAAAAATTCACACCGATAAAACCGCTTACATGTATTCTAATATTATACTGGAATTTACACACTCGACACATTAAATTACATCTTAACATAAATCTAGGTTAGTGTGCACCCTCATTCATAATTTTGATGAGCCGGTATTAAAAAGGACATTTAAAGGATCGTGTCTGGGGCAGAAATTTTTCAGTAGTAAATAGGATTAAATCAGCGTGATCGGCTAACACGATGGATATCTATATACATTTATCATCTTTTTTTTTAATAAAAGTAAATATTTTTTAGCAGCGTTAATGTGTATCATATATTTCTTTGTATTGTTTACACACAAACCTTCATGAAAATTTCTTCATTATTGTAATAGTCTTTTTTTTTATTTTTCTTCTTCCTGAATTTCTATTTCATCCCAAGAACTAAAATTTATTGAATAAATAATGTTGTTATTGTTTTTGTACGTATTTACTGTTCCTGATGTCCGTAGAGCTCGGGTGCTTTACGGTGCTATATTTTAATGTAAATTACACAGGTAAAACAGCTAACACGTAATCTATTATTACGAAATCGACATATTTAGGTCTGTACCTTCATTCATAATTCTGATGTGTCACTATTTTAATAACAGATTTAAAAGTCCGTTTCTCGAACAGAAAATTTTCAGTAACGTATAATTGTTTGGGAAGGAGTAAGTCAGAGTAAAGGTAATCAATATAAAAATAAAACATGAATTCTATAGATATACTTTATATATTGATGAACTTTTACCTCAACAGATAGCTATTTTTGGGTTCCATTTATCTTCTTTGATAAATTTAAAGTGTTTTATTCTTGCATAATTCATTATTTTTGTGAACCTTTCCGAATCATATAAGAAGATTTGATGTATCAAAAATCATTTATTTCATGTTTTGTTTCATCACCAATACTGAGTTTTATTTCTTAAGATCTGCATATTCATCAAAAATAAGTACGAAAAAATCAAGATTTTCAAATATTTATTATTTACATTCCGGTAAATTAAAGTGTGCATTTTCTTTTAAATTGAGATAAAATCAAAGTCATTCATATTTATATATTTTCATACGTTGTTACAAACTGATATTAAAACAGTAATTTAACATATAGAAAGTTAGTAATCTGTAGCATCAAGAGTTAATTGTAAGTATAATTAAATAATGTTAACTTGATGTGATTACATGTGGTAAGCACATAGGGAATATACAAATTAATGCATATTTACATCAAAACTATGGTTACATATATATATATATATATATATATATATATATATATATATATATATATATATATATATATATATATATGATCATTATAATAAACCAAAAAATGAATAAATACAGTGCTAGCATCATAAGATGCATAGCTAATTAACATCGATACATGGACTATATATGTGTTCATAAGATCTCTGATTTGAAGGTGGGAATTTTGTTAATAATGTTCCCTAGCAATGGCAGAGACTGATTTAATAATTAACGTCTGCATTTTCATGCACAGATTTAGATTGACCTCTCACGGGAAGAACTATAGTCCCAGATATTGTACATGCTGTATTTACATAATACCTGACGTCTTTCCAGATATACAATACAAAAAAAGTTTAGAAATGAAATAACAAAATCAAACTGAGCGAACACAAAGTTTCACACTGAATGCACAGCTTTTCCTAGAATTTGTTGGCAATCCTAATTTAATTAGTATTTCTTCAAAGATTCTATTGAAAAAGAAACAGAAAGAGTCTGCCAATGACAAGAATAGCTATTGAGTCTTCAAAAATACTGTTATCGGACTTTTGGATTCTTCGATTGGACGACATTCTAAAAAAAATCAAACCTGTGTCATATGAACATTTAAAACCGGATCTTTCATTAGATATTTTATACATAAAATTTTTCTCAATATACTGAATTACCCATTTATGACGGGAGGGGTATCAGTAGAATGTTTTCTTTTGACGATTTTGTAACATTCCTGATCTAGAAAGGGAAATAACTAATGTAAGTGAAAGTAATTCATGTATAGGAAAACATTTAAACCGAGGACATTTTAAACACAGTAGAATAATTGCAAAACTTTCTCTGAGGCAACGATAACCTTTTTATTTTATTTCAATTGATTTCAGAGTGATTTTGTAAGTCAAACCAAAGGCAAACAAATGAAAAAGTACCAAACAAATATTTATATTCTATGGTCAAACATATGTGTATGGAAACTTACACAAATAAGCTGTATCAGAGAGATAAACGTCTGGACATGGATTGTCAAAATTTTTGCAGTCAGCATTCATGTGTTCCTGAACAACAGCCCCCTCAAAATTGTATTCTGCACACTTACCTGCAAATAATAAAGTAGTGTAATGGAAAATTTCATTTTTATTTTTCTTTTGCCGTGAGATAAAGCAATTTATCTATAAAAAGAAAAATAATTTCGAATACCTATTATATTGACTCTTCTCGCACAAACTTCTAATGTCGCATTTTCCCAAGAATTGATGAGACAATGGTAGAGGAACTCGTCATTACTTGAACAATTTTGGGAGATCTTTGAGCAGTTTTTCCTCAACGCAGCATTTAGCCATTCAAATTCGTCCAGTGGGCATTTCTCAACGTACCTAACGGTGCCTCTGGAAGCTGGACACGTCATCAAAGGCTGATTGCATATTGAAGAAAAAGGTCAGGGTTTATATGTTCAAATGTAATAAACATGAAAAATGTTATCAAATTAATTTATTAATCTTTTGTTATCATGTATGTTTTATTTAATAAATTATGATTATATAGTATTTTGTCGATATTTTGCATACCTGATTGGCAGAGCCAGTACAGAAAAGTTGCAGTAACAGCAACAGGGAAAAAACAGGGTGACGGTGTGTGAACAGCATTATCTTAGGATATATCTTTCAGAAAAGGATAGGTGTAATTTTCTGTCTTTCTTCATCCAATTTAGTTTTTTAAAGTGGTTTAATGCACGAAGAAGAGATGTTGAAATGACGATCTGTGATGATATTAACAATTATTGTATTCTGCTTTCATTTTTGGCTTAACACGTACAGGAGCTAATTGTTAAAGAATTAGGTATTTCTACCTTTGAAAATTTTCTTTACACGTTGATCAGGCAGATTCTTTCCAAGATAATATTAAGCAGTAATTTCTCTCCGTAAACTTTATATAAATACTGCTTGGGTTTAGAGTTCATACTAGCATGTGGCCAACTAAGATATATTTACGAGTATTTATAACTTTGCAAGTTTTCCAAATTGCTATTTTTTTTTTTTTTTTTTTTTTTTTTTTTTTTTTTTTTTATACAGATAACAGGTTCTCCTTTAGTCTAACAAAGAGCAAAAGCACTCTACAATATTAGTGAATATTACGTTCCTTTTTTTCATATATATCAAGGATGGGTTTAATATTCTTAATGATATCATCATTTTTAAGTATTTATAGAAATATTCTTCTTTGCTCATAGTTCTTCAGCAGGCAAGGCCCCTTGCATGAAAGTAATGAACATAAAAAATCAGATACTCCTAGTTCTATGTTTCAGAGCGGGGTTAGGTCTGTCAGACATGCATTTTGAACGTTAATTACGTTGACATTTTTCTCAAACTATTGAAATCAAGCAAGCAGATTTTTATGATATTCATAAACTTTGAGGTCAGTGGCCCCTTGGTGCAGCATTCGGGCCCCTTAGCTGGGCAAAAGGTAGGCATCAATTTTTTTAAAAAAATCATTTACCCTTTGAAATCGTTTTTCTTCTTTATAAGGGAAATCCGATAGAGTAGCTGTTTGTACATGTATCATTTTTGACCATTTTCCTTCTTATTTTATCAAATGGTTGCCCTTTGGATTCAGACCCAGAAGTGATGTGTTTCAATTATTTTGTGCCTTGAAAGTATTAATTTTTTGGAAATTTAACTGCAAAAGAGCTGCCTGGGTTTTTTTTCAGACATCTATAAGAACATTAAATTTCTGCATAATGAAACGAAATAGTGAATAGCATATCTTTTTCATTTTCGAACATTAAATTTTAGAGATAATAAAATTCTGAAAACTGTTGATTTTCAGCATTTACATGTATATACAAAACCTATTAAGGCAATAACAAATCTCATGTATATAATCTAAAATCAAGTCAATAAATAGACTGGTCAGATAAATTCATACTTGCCCATTTTTCATACAAAACCAACCTCAATGTAATACTTGTTGGTTTATTACGTTAAGTAGATTGTACGAAAATTTTCATGATGCAATTGAAAATTTCTGAATTACGTAAACTGAAGCTGAGTGAGAATGTCTATCTAATAAGTTTTTTTCCACTATTTCAACTACTTTTTTTTTAATTGAGTAATAATACTTATCAATAAGTAGTCTATATGTACTTCACTTATGATTATATTTGCAAGGACATCCTCCAATTCGTCCGAGTTATTTTTATTGTTAGCTGTTCTAAAAGTATTTATATGTGTGCCTCAGTGTATTGTATTCATTCACTCGTGTGTCGATATTCATCATTACCTATGAAAATAATTTGTTATATAGTTTTTAAGTTTCACAATTTAAAGTGTCCAACTTTTATTTTTGAACGCGGAAGTTAAACAGTTGGAAAACCTTTACCTGTGCGGTGGTGACGAATGTCAAACACATTGTTCAAAATTTGAGTCCGTTTACATGTTTATGAGTAAAAATATTTATCAATAAGTATCTAAAACTTTGAGAACGTGTAAAATACACTTTGCAGTACAGTTATCTGTCGTGATGACATACAGACAGACAGAAAATGTTTTGTAAAATTCTGTAAAATATAAATAGGAGGCATTTCATTTTAACACACTTAAGTAACATTGATTGCTTAGTATCCATGTGAAAGTTTTATGATATTTAATGTGTACGTTTGTGATAGTTTTTTGATACATAATGTACAATTTTATATACTGGTTTTGTTTTAAAAAAATACTGATACAAAATTAAAAAAAAAAAGAGAAACAAATATCGAAAATCCACAAATAACATACATGTATATTGAAAAAAAAAAAAAAAAAAAAAAAAAAAAAAAAAAAAAAAAAAAAACATGAAACTAATTATTCTGTTATTAAGTCAAAATAAAGCAGACTTATGTAATCATATTTAAGAAATATTTTACAATATTTACATTTCCAATAAATTTCCCCACTGATTCTTTACAAAATAGAATAGCCTACAGTTCATTATCTCATGAACTACCATGAATGGGGATGAATGTCTCCATTGTTACGTCATAATACCTTACTTGACGTCAAAACTATAGTGCAAACTGTTTTGCTTTAAAAATGACAGTTGAATGGCGTTATTAGTGGCAAATCATCAGAAAAATAATGTAAATATAAGAAATGAATTAACTTTTGAAAATTTATGAGGTGCATGAACTACAACGCTTCATGCCGGCATATTTATCATAAGCGCTAAGGCGTAGTTCATGTTCTCATGAATCTTCAAAAGTTAAATTTATTATTTCTTAATTAAACAGTAAATTATATAACAGAATATTTAGTAACAATCAAAGTTTTTAAAATGAGTATTTGATAGAACTTCACAAAGAGCCAGCGTTATGCAATGTATCATGTATATATATATATATATATATATATATATATATATATATATATATATATATATATATATATATATATATATATATATATATATATATATATATATATATATATTTATTTATTTATATATTTATATATAAATGTACGTATTTATCATATTTTAAGAGTTCTTAAGGACTTTAAAGGTGTTTTTGCGAAGTGCCCCAATGTTTTATATATCATAAAATTTTCAAAACACATGCAGTAATGAACTACTTTTTCAGAGGTCCCTGATGGCTCTGCTAATATTTTGTATTGTTTCAATTGACCTTTGATCTCTATTCTTTATCTTCACATTACATATTTTCATACTTAAATGTAACAGGGTAGGAGAAAATTTATGGCTGGGCATGGAATCGAACCTCAGACCCTGCAGTACTTGTCAGTTATCTGGAACCCTTGCCAATGAGCTACCCAGGCCGATATTCACGGTCCCAATCCCATAAAATTATTATTACACTGCAAAGATAAGGAGGGAGGAATGTAGCGGTTCAGGCTTTCAGATCCCTGGATATTGACATGGTTAGCTCAGGGGTTACTATGAATATGATGCATTAAATACTTTCAATAAGTTTCTCGTGATATTTTAACTCAGTAATTTAAGGAATATGTGTTCTCTGTCTCTCTGTTGACCACATGGCTTGAACGCTAACGGTTAAAAAAGCAACACATTTGTCGATCGGCCTAACATATGTACAAATATATAAAATTTTAGAATGAGGAAGTTTTAACTTGGTATATTCATTACAGGAAAATATCATTTAAAGTTAAGCGTTTCGAACAATCATGCGTTGTCTAATTAGGAAATTTAAGTATCAAAAATAATAAAGGAAATAACATATTTCAAATAAGTTATTTCCTGGAGGAAACAATTTTTCCAACAAATAATAACGACCTTTATATTCGGCGCATATGCCAAAAACTCTGTCAAATACAATCACTGATTGTAATAACACTATATGTACTTTTTGATCACATATATTTATATTTTTATTTATTGATGAATTTCATTGTTCAACACGCTGAGCTGTTCATGTTAAATGTGATAATCTTTAAGTTCTGAAAAATATAAAGTGATCAAGTTTCATCCTTCCTCGTGCATGTATTAGCTACATAGTTTTCCTTCATCTTCCCCTATCATGATTTTAACCAAACAGCTTCATCTTACATCTGTAGCATGACTTACACCCAACACCTTCATCTTATATCTAGCATGACTTACACCCATGTTATTTAAAAAGATTATTTGTTTAATTAATGATTATTTTATTTCTTATCCCTGAATGCATTGACTTTGGAGAAAAAAAAATGAGAAACTGAAATTCAACAAAAACAGAACACATGCATTCAATTATTAAAAATTCAGTAATTAATTTAAATGATTTTTAGACATTATTTTCAAATATATAATAAAAACAACAATACAAGACGAACTCTGCATCACACCCCATATTGACCCTCAACCAATATCAGCCTTCTAGCCTTCGGCTTATATTGGAGTTTCGGGTTGATATGGGGTGTGATACAGATTTTGCCACGTAATATTATTCTCTATGTATCGCTAACAATTTATTCCATGTCGATTGTTACAGCTATCTCTCGTGATACTATAAAAATCGCTAAAATTACTTCGCGCTAAAAATATTTACCAATATTTTTGGATAAATCGCTACATTTGCGTCTCGCTAAAATTTCTTCTCATACGGTAAACCAATTTTTCCTATCCGTAGACCTTTTACGGCTTGGAAAGAATATATTGCCCATATTAACTAAATTAATATAAACTGAACCAAACTTCTAAGTGTTCACCTAACATTTTTTAAGTTTTAAAAAAACAAATGCATCCAATAAATAATTTCTTTAATTCATGGTTAATGATGCATATTTCAGTTCGATGTTGCGTAAATTTCGTGTAAGTATCTCGTCAGAATTTTAAGCAAAGTGTCAAGGACATGATGTACCCTCAAAATGAAAATTCACATAAAATAATCTCTAAGGAATAAGACCCCTACTCGCTTAAATTACTGCA